GGGGGTACTGATACTAAATATCAAACTGATATAGTAAGGAGCTAGTGAAAGTAGGATTGTGGGATGTATCCTAAACCTGCATCTATCAAAAAATGTTTTTTGGTGCCCTTCCAGTGAAAACAATGAAGCACACAAAATTACAAAGTTACCATTTTTATTTACAATCAAGGTTTTTAAATCAGGGTGTTCAAAATTCAATCATGCAAAAAGCAATTACTAAATTAAATGTAAAATATTAGAGAAACTGGAATTAAAAAAAAATGCTCGTCTGAGAGAAGGCCTGTTTTCAGCTCCCGCAGAGAGCCTGGCTGATTGTCAAATCTTAGGAGGAGCAGGTGGATTTAATCCTGGCTGTGGAACAATAGGGCAGCTCCATGCTGTCTATAAGGTGCTGGAGGGTTAGTGGGAGTTTGTCCTACTGGTCCACATGCGTGTACCTGGAAAAGGCATTAAACCGAGTTTCCTTGTGGTGCACTGTGAGGGGAGTATGGAGTGACGGGCTCTTTACTAGGGGCCATTCAGCCTCTCTAAAAGTGGAGCAGGAGTTGGGTCCTCTATGCCAGCATTAAATCTGACATTTTATCAATAAATGGTGCAGCTGAAATGAGCTTTCTCAGGGTGCCCAGACACCGACTTGGAGAAGGGTTGAGGGGCTAGGTCATCCTGGTGAAGCCCAGGGTAGAGCTGCTCCTGCTCCACATCAAGATGAGCCAGTTCAGATGCCCCCATGGACATCTGTTTTAGGTACGTCCCAATAAGAGGCGAACCATTAGGTGATCCAGAACTCTGAAGGGACTGCTATCAGGCTTACCCCAGGCTGGAGGAGGTGTCTGGGGAGAGGGAAATCTGGATGTCTCTGCTTGGACTCCTGTTCCCACCACCTGGTCCCAGATAGAGGATGAGTACAATTCGAGTGCAATACTCTATATGACAGATACATTATATTACTGGATTTATGAGAATGTAAAAACTTATTTTAAATCATCTAAGAAATGTATTTTTTTTTAATGTGTGACAAAGTGTTTAATGTGATGTCTTTGGGCTTTGATTCCATATTTTATGAAATGATATATGATGGTATATCAAAGAGTTGCCTATTTAATCACAGAATTTTCATCTGATCTTTACTAACAATATATTTGTCTCATTTTGTTCAAAGACATTAATGTTGCTTCATTTCCAGTCAGCCCTTAGGGTCTCACAGTTAATCATTAGTCAACTAAATTGTGTACAGTAAAAATGAAAATATCTTAAACACTGATCATTATCCTTATCAAGATGTTCAGTTGTTTTTTTATCAGGGACGTCAAATGTAAAAAAATCACTATTGGAAGAAAATATAGCTACCTTCTATAAATTGTGTAGTTTTAAATTGTCCTGCTGCAAACTTGAGCAAAATAGGATCACCCTTTTGTCTATTATATAATTTCAAACTAAGCACAATTTTAAAATGTTAAAGTTAAAAATTCAAAAGCTTGTAGAGTTTCTCTTTCTTGACTCCCCATATTATATGCAACTCTCACATTTATGCAGCACTGAAAAAGACTCCTTCATAGGTGTCGAAACGTTTTCAGAACAACAGAGGGAAAGTCTGGTTGCCCCCAAGTTAAGCCTGATCTTTGGTTGATATGAACTGGATGACTAAGTTACAGAAACTGAACCAAACCACACTATACTCGAGAAACAGAAACAACAAAATGTGTTTTGCAAATGGGGAAGTTGAAGTATTTGAAACCCAAACAAAGCACCCAAAAAATATGCAATAAACTTGAAAATGTTTGGTTTTAGCAGCTAAAACACGATTTTAAAATCTGCTTTTCAGAAAAAGCAAGCACAGTTTTAAAATGTTTCAAAAGCAGATAGAGGTTCTCTTTCTTGACTCCCAATATATGCAACGCTCACAGTTATGCAGCACTGAAAAAGACTCCTGGATAGTTGTTGAAACGTTTTCCGAAAAACAGAGGGAAAGTCTGGTTGCCCACAGGTTAAGCCTGATCTTTGGTTGACATGAACTGGATAACTGGCAATTTGCACAAGCAGATATATCAGATGTGAAACTGACCTGTTTCTCTTCAAATGGCATTGTTAAATGGCAATCATTGAGTTTTCACAAATAATGATCCCAAATAAAAAGAACCTATCTTGAAACCATCTTAGCCCACATGCTCTATTCCTACAGAAAATATGCCAAATGAGCTGCAGATAATCAAGCAAAAGAGAAGACACATGAGTTTGGGTGATTTAGAAGGATTACAACAGGGAATGTTCAAAATCTCCCTCTCTGTTTGCAGAAACTCAATGGAATGTCAATACAGAGGACTAACTAAACATTACAAAACAAAAACAATTATTTATTAACATGGGGTGTCTTTTTCTTCTGAATGAACACTCTCAAACTGGATTATAAAATCAGAGATTTTGCAATCTCTGATTAATCTATTTCAAATATTTTCTACATATTTTCTTTAACCAGGGCGAATTAATTTGCAGAAGGTGGTGCAAATACATTTGCCAACCCAGCTTAGAATTACAAGCACAAAAAACATGACTACATGTTTTGTGCGTAAAATGACAAAGATACACATGAAATTCACCAAAAAGGTTCACATTAAAAGAGGAAACCACAAAGCTGACCAACACCCACCATAACTGGAAAGGGTGCATGTTGCACAAATTACCAAAAAGTAGGAACAAAGTAGAGAAAAAAAAAACACATCCTGAAAGTAGATTTTCCATTTAGATCTGAAAAACATTTAGTAGCAGGCTAATAAGAGAAACACATTTTTTAGATTAATAATAAATAATACAGCTTTTGCCTTGGCCTTGTGATAAACTTTGGTTGAAGCTAATGAGCTCCTCTAACCTCACTGTTTACTTATGAACAATTGTGCTGAAACCAGGGACTAATGTATTTGGTTTTGTTTTTTTGACAGTACTATACTATACTGGTGGGCTTGACTGTGCATATGCTTTAAAATTACTTTCTGAAGTCTTCTTCATGTTTATTAAGTTAAAGAAACTGAACCAAACCACACTATACTCCAGAAACGCTGCAAGATGTGTTTTGCAAATGGGGAAGTTGAGGTGTTTGAAACCCAAACAAAACACCCCAGAAATATGCAAAAAACTTGAAAATGTTTGGTTTTAGCAGCTAAAATATGATTTAAAAATCAGCTTTTTTTTTTTGTTTTTTTAGAAAAAGCAAGAAATAAATAATG